AAAATTTTCCTCTCTACATAATTTTGGATTTCCTACATATGCGATGTACAGCTCCCAAGATAGAACCAAACTGAATCTGAAATTGAAGAAATGTATATTGTTGGGCTATGCTAACGGTGTAAAGGGGTATCACTTGTGGGATCCCACTACCCGCAAGGTAGTAGTCAGTAGAAATGTACTATTTGTAGAAAATGAAATGCAAAGGGAACAAGAAAATGACAATACTTCTAAGGAGACTACTACTGTTGAGATAAATAAAAATAGCGGAAAAGATGATTCCTATGAAGCTGAAACAAAACACGAAGAACAAGAACCAACTTAGGCTGATGATACAGAAGTTTGACGATCAATGTACTAAATAAGAGTACCTTCATGGCACTTAGACTATGTTGTGGCAAGACATGTTGCATATTTCCTTCTTATAGAAAAAAGAGAACCGTCAATGTTTCATGAAGCCATGACTAATCCAGATTCTTCTATGTGGATAGAAGCAATGCAAGAAGAAATGGAAGCCTTACATAGAAACAAGACATAAGAACTTGTTTCTTTTCTTGAAGATCGAAGGTATATAAGATCAAAAGAGATGGCAACGATCAAGTGGAACGTTATTGTGCAAGACTGGTGGTTAAATGGTATGCTCAAAAGGAAGGTATTGGTTTTAATGGGATATTTTTTTCGATTGTCAGAATTACCACTATTAGAGTAGTTCTATGTGTGCTACATTCAGTTTACATCTTGAGCAGTTAGATGTAAAATTTGTTTTTCTTCATGGAGAACTTGAAGAAGATATCTACATGTTTTAACCAGAAAGGTTTGAAGATAAAGGAAAAGAAAACTTGATTTTCCAGTTAACCAAATCTCTATACGGTCTAAAGCAGGCGCCAAGATGTTGGTACAAGATATTTGATTCCTTCATAGTTTTCCTTGGATACAATAGACTCTGTTTAGACTATTGTACGCATTACAAGAGGTTTGGTGATAATGATTACATCATTCTTTTATTGTATGTGGGTGACATGTTAGTGGTAAGCCCCAACAAAGGCTGGATCCAAGAATTGAACCACAATTGGCTAAGGAGTTCAATATGAAGGATTTAGGACCGACAAATAAGATTTAAGAGATGCAATTTTACCAAGACATAAAAGATAAGAAGATTTAGATTTCTCAAAAGAATTATCTGATGAAAATCTTGCGGTACTTCAACATGCAAGATTGTAAGTCAATTTCTACCCCACTTCCTATCAATTACAAATTATCATCAAGTATGTGTCCTAGCAATGAAGCGAAGATGATGGAAATATCTCGAGGATCGTATGCATCAACGGTGGGAAGTCTTATGTATGCAATTATCTGTACGAGATCAGATATTGCTCAAATAGTTGGTATGGTTAGTCGATTTATGGTAAATCTTGGTAAAGAGTATTGGAATGTTGTTAAGAGAACCCTAAGATACATAAAAGGAATCTCACATGCTACATTATGTTATGGAGGGTCAGATTTTACTGTTAGAGGATATTTAGACTTTGCAGGTGATCTTAATATAAGAAAATCTACTACAGTCTATGTGTTTACCCTTACAAGAGGAGCCATAAGTAAGTTATCCAAATTACAGACTGTGGTAGCTCTTTCTACTATAGAAGCTGAATAGATGGCAGCTACTCAAGCTTGCAAGGAAGCAATTTGGATTTAAAAGTTAATGGGAAAACTTGGGCACAAACAAAAGTCAATTATTGTGTATTGTGACAGTCAGAGTGTTTTGCACATTGCAAGAAATCTGGCCTTTCATTCAAGGATAAAGCACATAGGTATATAATACCACTTTGTCAGAGAAGTACTAGAGAAAAGGAGTGTGGATATGTAGAAGATACACACAAAAGAGAACCTAGTAGATGTCATGACAAAACCAATCAATGCTGACAAGTTCATATGATGTCGATTGTCCCGTGGTCTATAAAAAATGTAAGCAACATGGAACTGGCAAAAAAAAAAAAAGGAAAAAGATTTTGAAACCTCGCCAAAATAACTTTAAGTGAGAGCTTTAAGTGAGAGATTGACGTATAGAATGACATTTTTTTAAAGCCACTTTTGAGGCTGAAGTTTGTCAAACACTATTCATATGATGGAAAGTTAGAGTTGTTGTGAAAAAGTTGTTCTCCTATGCTGATTGCACACATAATTTGTGAAACTTTCTTGCATATAAATGGGCAACATTGCTCTACGTGTTATGCATCCCAAATCCCAAAGTTTAAGAGAGTGTTTTCTTAGCATCCTCATTTAGACAGAAAAACATCAAGTGTCCATAAGTGTTATTTTTGAATGATATACATTCTCCTAGTATAAAAGAGAGTGATATTAGTCTCTCCTTATATTTAGAAAGATTGTAATTTTTTTCACTTAGTGAAAATCTTCTTTGATCTTAATCATGAATTTTTTTAATTGAATTTTTGACATAAATTTTATATGTTACTTCAATTGATGTATTTGCTAATCTTTTGAATAGTGAAATTAAGATAAAATTAATTATACTGTTTGTGTCAAGGAAAATGAGTGATTATTTAATCACTCTGTAGCACGAAGAGACTCACATTAGTTTTCACTTATCTGACCAATTGATATGATTAATAATACCTAAAAATTTCAGTTTCTCTTCGCTCTATTTTAACTGCATGGTATCTGTCATTTAACATAAATTACTCTCAATTTTATGATATAGGATAAGTGGAAATCATATTGTCAATGGGGTGATTAGTGTCACACCTCCCACTCCATTGGCATTATTTTCCTTTAACATAACTTAATATTTCTAAAAGGAACCCAAATTTGACGTAAAAGAACAAGCAGCACGTATGTGCTTGAACCTATCCATTGTCCATTGTTTATTAAATGATAAGACCTGCACACGTCACTGTTCTCATTTTCAAGCCAGAAGGCAGAAATAAATAATAATGTTAAAACTCCACTATTCATGAAATGATGCGACATATAGGTGTCTCTGTCCTAGTTTGCGTGCTAGAAATTATGGGTGTTTATCAACCGATCCAAACCGATTCAAACCGCGGCGACCGAACCGAAAAACCGATAACCGAATAAACTGAAACCGAAAAACCGAAAAACCGAAAAAAAACCGCAAATTTCAATTGGATTGGATCGGTTTTTGGATGGGTTGATGAAAACCGATCCAATATATTAATTCTCCTCTACCTACTTGGGTCTTTCTCCAATCATAGCCCGAAAATTTCTAAACCCAAGACCCATTAACCCATTAACTAAACCCAAGAAAAAATCTAATCGCATCTCATTAACAAAATTTTATCTTTGTAGAGCTTCATATCTCCTTGTTCCAAAAAAAAAAACTATATTATAGTTTACTAATGCTTTTGTATTTTAAAAATTTTTTTTACAAAGTTAATATATAGAAAAGATATTATTTGCACAATAATCATGAAATAAATTTTAAGATTTTCAAAAAACCGAAAACCGATCCAATCCAAACCGAAAAAAATTGGATTGGATCGGATCGGATATAAAAAATAATTCAAACCGAATTGATGATTATATGATCAAATCGAAGGGATTGAATCAGATAATTTTTGCTTCTAAAATCGATCCAATCCAGACCGCGAACACCCCTACTAAAAATTATGATGGAATCTCAAAATATTCCGGTCTCTACGTGAGAAAGAGAAGAATTATATTTATAATTTTTTTTTAAGAATAGTATATTATGTGCTAAAATATATTATCTTTAATATATAATATAATCTATAAGAATTTATAAAAAAACTTTATAAATATAATTTTTTCTTGTCTGAAATAATAGTATAATTTTTACTATTCGTGAAACAATAGGACCTGCACGTGTCAATATTCCCATATGCAAAAGCCAAAAAAAATAGGGAATCATCCCTAAACAAGGAAGCAAATTCACCATATTTGTTTTGAATCCTCCATTAATACTCAACAAATTTTATTTTTCATTTGGTTTTTCGATTACTGTACGGAACTCATATTACCTCCTCAATTAATCTTTGCGTTAAATAAATTTATGTTTACTAATACTTTTAACTTTTTTATAAAGTCTTCAACAATGACTATTTTAAACCGCAAAGAAAATTATTCATGTAAAATTTTCTCAATATGAAAATTCAAGAATATCATTCAACTAGTGTTATAATTTAATGGGATTTTTATCATAATTTTAATTACTAAAAATCTTATTTTCTCAGAAAAAATTTAAAAATCTTTAAACCAAAAGTAAGTAATTGGGGTTCCGTGAGTTTAATGGGAATATAAAATGGGAAAAAAGTTTCTAATATTACTTTAGACAATTTTATCTAATATTTATCAAAATGATGTCGTTTTGGGGTTAAAAAATCAAAAAATTAGAATGATAAAGACTATTATAATCCTGAAATAAATTAAAATTATAAACACACCATGATTTTTGCCCCAAAACGACGTCGTTTCGATGAACATTAGACAAAGTTATCTAAAGTAACTTTAGAAAAAATAAACCCATATAAAATTTAGAGTATATAACCTTTTGTTTCTTACAAAAAAAAAAAATATTTCCACTTTAGTTTTTTCTAAAAAAAAATTAGTCAGTTAGTTCTTATAAAATTTAAAGTGAATTTATTTTAATTTTTTTGAAGGACTGAATATTTTTTAAATTTGTGAAGAATTACAATTTTAACTAAATGAATTCACTTATGAGATATCTCGAGACTAATTTTTTTTTTAAAAATCATATTTTTTTTAGAAAGCAAAAATGATATTTAGTCTAAAATTTATCCCCTCTCGTTGAAAAAGACCACTTGCAGCGCACTAATAGCAGAGTAAGAACTATTCTTTCGCCTTTTACTAAAAAAAAAAGCAGAGTAAGAACCTGGACAAGACACTTGCTGACTTAAGTCAATAAGTGATTGCAAATTCCACTATATCTGACAACATCAGGCATATGTTATTGGCTTCTTCTTCTTCAACATCCATTATTGGTCAATGGCTTCTGTGCAGATCCTGTGGTCATGTAGCCAGGTTAAGCATCCATGTTATATGAGATACCATCATGTGAAATCAGACAGGATCAGCAGGAAAAGCTATTCAGTTAGATTTGAAGGAGGGAAGGTTCCAAATTTAGAGGAAGGGGAAAGGAAGCTGAGAGTTTTAATAGCTGGAGGGGGCATTGGGGGGCTTGTTTTGGCTCTTGCTGCTAAGCATAGAGGGTATCAAGTGAATGTGTTTGAAAAGGATTTGAGTGCTGTTAGAGGGGAAGGTAGACACCGTGGCCCAATTCAACTCTTGAGTAGTGCTCTTGCTGTGTTGGAAGCCATTGACCAGAGTGTTGCAGAGCAGATTATGGAGGCTGGTTGTGTCACTGGCAATAGGATTAATGGCCTTGCTGATGGTTTATCTGGAGAGTGGTATGTTTGCTCTTTCTTGTCTCAAATTGGCTATATATATAAATAAGATTTTATAATTCTCATTCAACAACGTACGAATTAAAATTTTCCTTGATATCTTTCGATTTTCATGCTAACATGGATTTTACATATAATTTTTTCTAAACACATAAGTTCCATATATTTTTTATCTCTGCAACATAAGATTTTTATTCTCGTTCAATATGAAAATTATAAAACCATATATATATATATATATATATATATATATATATACACGAGAAAGTTATATTTATAAATCTTTTGTTTACAAATTATACATATTTATGGAAGTACACTAGATTACATTATATATTTTGCAGATTACTGGATATAATTTGCAAAAAAAAAGTTGTTAAAAAAAATTGTAACCAGATCATTCCTTATATATATTAATATAAATATCACCTCTAATATTAACCATTGATTCTTCTTATATTTAATGGTCTAACTATATGCAAGTGAATCAATCATAAAAATTTATCTCAATGTAATTTGATTATCCTTATATATATAGTGTTGAATGTGATTGAAGGAAACAATTGTGTAACTCAGTAACTCATATACTTGACATCAATTTTGGGGACTTATTAAGTTAATCAGCTTCCCCAAAACTTGTTGAAAAGATGTTTTGAGGTCTTGGATTCCTGCAAATTTCTGTATATTGCTCATGACCATCTTGGAAGGTGTAAGAATTTTGTTATACAAATTGCGGCTGAAGATTGAATCCCAGATAAATTTGATTGTCACTCTCTTTTGTTTTCTCTTCAGGTTCACTAAGTTTGATCTTTTGACTCCTGCTTCAAGTAAAGGGCTTCCTGCTACCCTAGTCATATGCAGAATGACACTGCAAGATATATTAGTCAATGCAATTGGTTCCAACATAGTTAGAAACAAATCTAAAGTAGTGGATTTTATTCAGGAACCTAGCAAGGTTTGAGTTTCTCTTTACAACTAATTTCTGGTTGCTTAAGAGAATAGTGTTCTAATTTTGAATCATTTTTCATTCACTATCAGGTCAGAGTGGTCCTTGAAAATGGGCAGCACTATGATGGTGATATTTTAATAGGGGCAGATGGAATATGGTCAGAAGTAAAATATACCATCCTTTCCTTCTAGTTTTATTTACAAATGAGTTCCTTTTTCTCCATGGTTTTGGCATTTAATCTCTTTTTGTTTATTTTCTTAGGTGCGTTCAAAACTCTTTGGGTGGCAGGAACCAAAGTACTCAGGATTCACATGCTATAGTGGATTAACAAACTATGTGCCCCCATATATCGATACTATTGGGTATGTACTTCACTCCTAATAACATTTTAGGACAGTCAAAGCCTCTATTGTTAAATAAAAAATGTACATTGGTCAACAAGGTTATAATACTTTGTCAAGAAATCAACATATCCAAAAAATTTAGCTTGAAAACCAAGAATTGCTTTTACCTCAAGTAAAAATGCTAAAAATGTTCCACTATTTTTAAGTTTTGCTAAATTGGTGTTCAAACTTGAAGGTATAGGGTGTTCTTGGGCTTGAACCAATACTTTGTTGCCTCAGATGTTGGCCATGGGAAGATGCAGTGGTATGCTTTCCATGGGGTACCCCATTCAAGTACCCCTTTCCCTGAAGGTATCTTTATACCTATATATCCATTTCTGATAAATTTGAAGGTAATTGAAACAAATAGATTTATATAAGTTACTGCAGGTAAGAAGAAGAGACTTTTGGATCTATTTGGTAACTGGTGCAATGAAGTGATCACACTCATATCAGAAACACCAGAGCATATGATTTTGCAGAGGGATATATATGATAGAGACATGATCAATGCTTGGGGAATTGGGAGAGTGACTTTGTTAGGTGATGCAGCACATCCAATGCAACCAAATCTTGGTCAGGGGGGATGTATGGCAATAGAGGTCGGTTATTTATAATTTTCAACTTCATAAATAAAAAGGTAGTTCATTGAATATCTTCAATCCTGGTAGCATTATTATATAGTACAACTTCATGGATAAGATTGAAATTATACCTAAAATGTTTATGCATTTTTTTTATTAATCTACCTTTATTTCGGAGCGAACCGGAGCATTGGTAAAGTTGTTCTTTCATGACTGAAAGGTTATGGGTTCGAATTCAGGAAACAACCTCTTTGCAATTATGCAAGGGTAAGGTTGCGTATAAGGATTACCTCCGCTCCACATTCGCTAGTCGGGTTTAACGAGGAGTGATTTTTGTTTTTTAATCTACCATTATTTCACTTTCATCCCTCTATGATACTTTAGCCATGCCAAAGTAGCTAAATAATTCAGGAATAAAATAAGAAAAGGAACCAAAAGTGTCACGTAGAGCTATTTTGAACAAATGGGAGAGATTATTACCAATTGTTGCAATCACATTTGCAGGATTGTTACCAACTGATACTTGAGCTTGACAAGGTTGCTAAACATGGTTCTGACGAGTCTGAGGTTATTTCAGCCCTTAGAAGGTATATTATTCGGAATATTTTTTTATTTATTTATTGGTTAACGTATCTTAATTTGTTATCTTCAGAGAAAATGGAATTTCCCTCTATATATTGTGAAATTTTTTTCATGTAACACGTTCTCTTTGCTCTTCAGTGAGCACCTAAATGTGTCATCAAAGAGTATATGATCACATACCATGTAGATAGAAAAGCTAATTTAAACCGTCTCTACGTCATGGCTAGGTCCAGATTACTCTTCCAATTTTAAATATGCTTATCTTTTCCTTAATTTTTACTTAACAAGGACAGAAAGCAATACTAGCATCTCTTGGAAATCTTTGAAAACAAAAACTTCTAGTTAGATATAATATAAATAGAGGCAGGATATTCTTACACCGGTGTAAGAGTTATAAGTCTTACACTCAATCTTGACCATTGATCCACTTGTATCCAATGACTCATATTACTAAAAAATTTGAGCCCTTAAATATAAGTGGGATTAACGGACAAGATTAAGAGTGTAACTTACACTGGTGTAAAATGATCCTATCCTAACCCATATAAATATGTTAGACATTTAATAAAACATTCATGAGTGTTGACTCAACACCTTTTAAGTTTTTGGAAAGTTGGTTTGGGACATGATAGTATAATGTGATATAGAGTTTGATCCGTGATGTTTTATTTTTTTTAATAAGAAAAAAGTTAAATTTTTTAGCACAAGATAAGTAATTTAGAGTTTAAAATTTGTTTGGCTTTTGTTAGATACGAGAAGAAGAGAATCCCACGAGTTAGGGTTTTCCACACAGCTAGCCGGATGGCATCAAAAATGCTAGTCAACTATCGACCTTATATTGAATTTAAATTTTGGCCTCTGTCGGTATGTTTTTCTTTCCACCTTCAATCTAGCTTAAATAGTGCAAAATCTTTACTTCCTTCTAGTCACAAAAAGAAGAAGAAAGATTGCAACACTTCGCGTTTATTCTTCAGCAGAATGTAACCAATATGAAGATAAAGCACCCTGGCATTCATGTAGCTCGAGCCCTTTTGAAGTTTACTTTTCCACAATTTGTTACTTGGATGATTGCAGGCCACGGGTGAGAGATAGATGTCTTGTACCTGAAAATTTAGTTATCATCACTATTATCTTTATGGTGTAGGATATGCTTACCACCAATTAAATTTACCATCTCTTACTATCAAATCTTAATCGTTGTTTTCTGCCACTCTGACGGTTATAATTTATTTGGAATTAATAATTAATTAATAAGTGTTATCTAATAAATTATAAACGTCAGATCGATAGAAATCAACGGTTAAGATTTGGTAATAAGAAGTGGTAAACTTCATTGGTGATAAGTGGATCTCTCCCTTATCTTTAAAGGATTTTGCATTCATCATTTAACATGACAAGAAAAAGTTTCCTACACACACAACATTCAACATTTTGTGAGGCACATATTTTTTGGAGCCAAAAAAAAAAAAAAAAACTACGGCACACAAAATGAATCTCTATAACATAACACAATCAATTCTCCTACAATATAACTTTTATAAAACCCATCTTTAAATACCAATTTGGCAGAATTTTCATTCAATGTTTTGCTCCTCTTGTTTTGCTTTTAAGTTTTGAATACTAATACTGGTCTCTTTTACAGGTTGTGGTGAACATATATATGTAACGCTTTGAAATAAAAATGCTTACCATTTTTTTTGGGGGTACGAAAAATGCTTACCATTTTAACATTGTGTGATTGTAGTTAAAGTAATCTTAGATTCTTTTCGTATACTCTCAATATTGTGACGAACAAATTAAAGTAATAAAGAAAAGAAAGTATAAAAGAAACATTGCAAGGGACATGGCAAACTTTCCCAAAGAGAAATAATAAGAAAAGAATACATTCACGTGTTTGGTTCATTTTATTTTATTTTATTTTATTTAAAATAACCATTTTACTACTTTTAAGAGTTTTTGAAAAAACAAAACAATTAATTTTTGGTTAAAATAAACATAGAGAATATTGCTAACATTTTTACAGGTAGAGTTGCATTAACAGGTTGTACATTACAACCTACATGGGTTAGGAGCAAGTATTTTACAAACAAGTTTATTACAAGCTTGTTTTATTTAACTTGTAGATTAAACGAGTTATGGCAAATGGGTTAATGATTGATTGGGCGTTAACATATTTAACAACTTTTGTTTTTGAAAAAAGAAAGTCAGTTGAGTGTGGCTTTCACCTATTCAAATTAAGCAGCCCAAATGCTTCTTAATACCCAAAAGAAATTTTTTGCATGATTTAAAAAAGAAAAAAAAAACACAACATTTGTCCGATGCAAGGCCAAGGTGAAGCGAACCTGAGCTATTATTTTTTGGCCCATTTCGTCAATCTGATTTGTCTTGTTTATCATCACTCGTCAGTGTCTTAAGGGACGTTTGGTATGCAGATTTTGTGTGGATTTTCAGGAATTGGGGGTGGGGAAAAAAACTTGCCAATGTTTGGTATGCAGATTTTAAAAATATTTTCAGCTATTTTTTTCTCATCATTTATTTTAACATTACACTTTTCAAAAGAAAAATACTGTACGACCCATCGTATATTTTTTTCCCCATCCCTTGGGAAACAATAAAGCAAATTGTTGGACGAAATTGCCCTGCCTTTGAGAAATAATTAAACAGATGATGTATTCAAACAAATGGATATTTTTGTTTACATTCAACATTTTCAGCAATATTTTACAATTAATATCAGTAAAATTAATTCAACTTTTTGAAAAAAGATTGGCTTAATTTTACTGATATTTTACAATTAATATCAGTAAAACAAATGGAAGTGTGCGAGTGAGGACAAAGCACACTGAAAAGTCTCGTGTTAGTGTGTGGGGACAGTCATTGATTCTTGCAAGTGGTCAGGCGTTACAAGTGGTATCAAAGCAGGGCATCTCTTCCAGTACGGTGTGGTTCGAGGACGAACCAGGCGGAAGCTGGTGGGCATGTAACATCCCAAGAGCTGGCAAGGGCAAAGAGTGATCGCCGGTGTGAAAGGGCACGAACAATAAGCGGCTCATGCCAAATCTTGCAACTTGGGGGTTCATGAATGAATCGAATCAACACTCGAAAGAGAGGGATTCCAGCGACTGTGCTGGTATGGGAACAAGATGCATCTACTTTTCGGTAGCCCGGATCAGAAGAACTCCACAGTTAAGCGTGCTTGACTTGGAGCAATTCTGGGATGGGTGATCTCCTGGGAAGTTTTCTCGGGAAGTGTGCGAGTGAGGACAAAGCACACTGAAAAGTCTCGTGTTAGTGTGTGGGGACAGTCATTGATTCTTGCAAGTGGCCGGGCGTTACACTTCCCATAAAGAATAACAGAGAAACATGATAATGTATAGGCCTTAAAATCTCATTACACAATGTTTCGGTTGTTAAGTTTGTCTTATACATGTCAAATACAATAATCGCTTGTGCTCGTATCTTTAAGCAGACATGTCATATTTATTCACCAAGGACAACATTGTTAATTTATAGAATTTCAGCATTGGTATGAAGCTGGCAAAAATACACTCTCTACCATGTAATATTTCACCATCTTTCTATCTACTATTAAATAAATTAGACCATATCTGACCGAATAATTACAGTTAAATGTACATGAAACAATATTCAATGCTTAAAACTAGACCATTTCAACAATATTGCATGAAAAAATAGCAACAAACCCACAAGTAGAACAAGAAAACTAGTTGCTATCTTTCATGTTTTGTGTCCTCATTCTGGTGCCCCATGATCCCCCTTTTTGTCCCATACGTCTACAAGACCTTTTCTTCAACTAAACCACTTGCTCGTACCACCTATTTCTCCATATGTCATCACTAACACACATTTTGATTCTCAACCCCAATTCAGAATCATACTTTGCTCGAAGCATAGGATTGGTCAAAGTCTTGTAAGCTACATTCAACTGAACAAACATGGCTGTTGACTCCTCTTTCATAGAAGGATCATAGCACACATCAGGATGATACTGAAGAGCCATTGATATGTAAGCTCTCTTTATTTCATCCATTGTAGCACTTCCGGGACTCAGACAACATCTTGTAGAACCTTTCATGTGTGGTCTCTTCCATGTACCCTTCAAAATGGACATACAGACAAAGACAAGTGAACAACAACCTGCTAATTAATTAATTTTTTTTTTTATAGAATCCATTACAAATAGCATCATATCAGACGTCCTTTGATCTCCAATGGGGTAAAAAAAACAAAGATTAAAACAAAAGATCATAAGATACTACTTGTCAAAAATGATTAGGCCATCAGACTTAACATAGAACACAAAATTAACTTATCAGAGCAAATCAGCAACATTTGGTGGAAGCTCCTCTACATTCACGTTGTAGAACTTCTGAATATCAGACAGCATTATAGCATCATCCAATAACTTTTTTCAAGGTTGATTGTTATGCTCCTGGCTTCTGGAAGCTATCAGCAGGGATAGTTGGCTCTGGATAGAGCCACCCATATGAACTTTGGCCATGTTGGTTCTCTTTTGCACTATTGACTATGGAGCTATTGTCATTAGTCAAATTCATCAGCACCTACAATGAGACAACATTAGTTAGTGCATAAATGTTTAGTGACTTCATCAGTGCTGCATGTGAAAAACCCTGATAGGAGCTTAAATGGAAAAAAATAAAAAATAAAACACAGGAACAGAGGGATATGGACATATCCTAGTTCTGCAGACAGGTCTATCAGATTACACGTTAAGAGATATAATAAACCATGTAAAGTTCTGCCCCAAGGCTGCTAGAGAACTAGAGTATGGTTTGGGTGTTTGTACTGATAGTGGTACATAGATGTCTCTCATGGAGGGTGAAGTATGTTGATATAGGGGTGTCCATAGTAGTCATGGTAGAGACCAAGGCACTAGTGGAGCTTCCCATGTATGTGCTAAATGGGGGAGTGTGTGTGTATGACAGCATATGAGAGGAGTGGGGAAGAAGAACCTTTCTCTCCATGTGTGAGAGGGGTATTTAGAGAGGAGAGTCCTCTCTTCATGGGGGCTTGAGCTGGTCAGCCCATGAGCTGTCTCATCAAGCTGCCCACTGTCAGTGTACAGGGGCAGCAGTGCAGGATGGGGAATGTCCCAGTGGTGAGCCTCTATGGCTTCTCATGGGTGCCCTCTAGAAGGTTCTAGAATGTGGGCTTTGACAGATTGGGCCCATCTGATGGGCCTAGTAAATAGCATCCGGAACAGGAGCCCCCCAGCTTGGTAGCTTGAAGGAGTCAAGGTGCCAAGATATATGGCAGCTTAGGCCGGATACCCGTAATGTGTAGTGTTCTAAGAAGGATATAATGTAACCGATCGATAATACGTCGGCCTTCATGAGTTGTTTATTTGTTGTCGTCGAGTATGAATTGTCTAACTGGCGATGCTTAAGTGCTTCAAGAGAGTCTTCTATTTGTGGCTTGCAATTGTGTTGAAGTTTGTTGTCTTCAAAGATGCGCCTTGTTATCGATGAAGGTCTTCAAATGTTGTTGAAGTAGTAATAATTTAATTGTAAGAATACGCTGGCGAGCTCATATTGATTCAAATAGCCTGAAGATGTTGACAACTGGAATAAGAATGTCTTGATGATCTAATAAAATAAAGTCGACAGGATTGCAGATCCGAACTTCGTGAGATAAATAAAGTAGTAGATGAGATCTTCTGGAGAGGATGATGTGTTCCAAAATAGAGAGTGATGATTCTCATGATAAATAAATATACTCCCTTCTTCAGAAATTAAACTTGCTGGTGACAAATAATGTCGTAGATAAGAATAATGCGTTCCAAGAGAGAAAGAGGTTGGTAGTCTTCATAAATGATAAATGTGTATATTCCTTTCTTTAACAACAAAGCTCGGCGATATGAATGCATAATAAGTAATGCCCAGTGACTTGGGTCTTTGATGTCCGGTTGCTCAAATATGTTGCTCCATGATCATGTTTAATAACTGAAATAAAGATGTCTTCCACGTTTGATAATAATGAAATAATGTGGTAGATGAAAGCTTCTGAGGAGGATAATTGCTCCAAGAGAGATGTGATGAAGATCCTGACGATAAATATATATGCTCATTTCTTCAGAAATAAAACTCGCTGATGACAAATAATGTAGCGGATGAAAGCTTCTCGAGAAGAGAATGTGTTCCAAAAGAGAAAGAGACTGAGATTCTTCATAGATGATAAATATGTATGTTTCTTTCTTTGACGACAAAGCACGGCGATACGAACATATAGTAAATAATGCCCAGTGACTTGGGTCTTTGATGTCCGGTTGCTCCAATTTAAATCCTGCAACAACTAGTATAATAGTGTATGAATGACGATAAAAATGTGCCTAGGTGGGGCGTTGGCCAGACGCCGACCATCTAGGACTTTTGCCGAGGGGTAGCACATCTCGGACTTTGTTTACCGGGGGTGAGAACCATCCTGGCCTTCATAATTAATTACCGGGGGTGAGAACCATCCCGGCCTTCATACGTTTTTGTCCCGGGCTACCGGTCTTCATTGTATACCGGGGGTGAGAACCATCCCGGCCTTCATACGTTTTGTCGACTCACATGAAATTTATAATCATATGAAATTAATACTGATGCGGTAGAGAGAAACATGTATATGCTAGTGAAGAGATATTGTTGCCTAGTGTTGAAAATAAAACCTGACCATGTGAGTCTCGCCGGACGCTTTGACATGTAAGTGCTGATCAGATAGCTTTGAGTATGTTAATGAATGTTGGCCTTCCTGATGGCGGAATGGAATGCTAGCCTCCCTGTTGGGCGGGATGAGAGCTTGGTCTCCATGTTGGGAGAGCTGAAATGCTGGTCTTCCTGTTGGGCGTGATGAAATGCTGGCCTCCCTGTTGGGCGTTATGAAATGCTGGCCTTCCTGTTGGGCGTGAGAACCATCCTGACATGCATAATTAGTTACCGGGGGTGAAAACTCTCCCGACCTTCATAATTAATTAACGGGGGTGAAAACCATCCCGACCTTCATAAATAATTACCGGGCGTGAGAACCATCCCAACCTTCATAAATATTTACCGAGCGTGAGAACTGTCCCGGCCTTCGCAAATAAATACCGGGCGTGAGAGCCGTCCCGGCCTTCAGAAATAATTACCGGGCGTAAGAGCCGTCCCGGCCTTCAGAATTAATTACCGGGGGGGAGAGCCATCCCGGCCTTCGTAAATAATTACCGAAGATGAGAGCCGCCCTGGCCTTCATAATTAAATACCGGGCGTGAGAGCCGCCCCGACCTTCTTAAATAAATATCGGGCGTGAGAGCCGTCTCGGCCTTCTTAAATAAATTCCGGGCGTTAGAGCCGTCTTGACCTTCATAAATAAATACCGGACGTGAAAGTCGTCCCGGTCTTCTTAAATAATTACCGGGGGTAAGAGCCCTCCCAGCCTTCGTAAATAATTACCGGCGTGAGAACCATCCCGACCTTCACAAATAATTAATTACCGGAGGTGAGAGCCCACCCGGCCTTCATAATTGGCAAGTCACTTCTCTACCTCATGGCAAACCAATTGTTGGTTGTAAATGGGTGTTTCGAGTAAAATACCATTCTGATGGTTCACTTGAACGTTTTAAGGCTAGACTTGTTGTCAAAGGTTTCAATCAACAAGAAGGTATAGATTTTTTTGAAACCTTTTCCCCTATTGCCAAAATCACCACTGTCCGAATGCTTCTTGCACTTGCTGCTTGTCATGGTTGGCATCTTACACAATTAGATGTCAACAATGCCTTTTTACATGGCGATTTGTTTGAGGAGGTCTACATGCAACTCCCACCTGGTTATTCTGGTAAGGGGGAGCTTCCTTCCAATGCTGTTTGCAAGCTCAACAAGTCCTTATATGGTTTGAAGCAAGCTTCTAGGCAATGGTTTGCCAAATTTTCTTCTACTCTGACATCTCTTGGTTTTGTTCAATCTCATGATGACAATTCCTTATTTGTTAAGAAGACCACTACCTTTTTTTATAGTAATATTAGTTTATGTTGATGACATTATCATTGCTTCTAATGATGTTCATGAGGTGCAGCTCCTTACTTCAATTCTGGACAGTAAGTTTAAACTCAAGAACTTGGGTGCTCTCAAGTATTTTCTTGGTTTGGAAATTGCACGGTCGCCCAAAGGAATTTCCCTCTGTCAGCGCAAATATACTCTCCAAATCCTTGAGGATACTGGTCTTCTTGGTTGTAAACCTCATTCCTCACCAATGGACGCTAATCTCAAATTATCTTTACATGAAGGTGACATGCTTCCTGATCCTACAATTTATAGAAGACTTATTGGTCAGCTTCTCTACTTGACCGTTTCTCGCCCAGACATCTATTTTGTGGTTAATCATCTCAGTCAATTCATGTCCTCTCCAAGAGTTCCTCACTTCCATGCTGCTCAACGTGTGTTAGCATATTTGAAGTCTACTGCTGGCCAAGGTCTATTTTTCTCCTCTGCCTCTAAGCTGCAGTTACATGCGTTTTGTGATTCTGACTGGGCCTCTTGTCCTGATAGTAGGAAGTCAGTGTTCGATTTTTGTATATTTCTTGGTGATTCCTTGATCTCCTGGAAATCCAAGAAACAACAAACGGTTTCTCGTTCTTCTGCTGAGGCGGAATACCGTGCTATGGCAGTGACCACTTGTGAGATATTGTGGTTATTCTCCTTGCTTCGAGATTTACATGCTCCTCACAATGGACCTGCTCACTTATTCTGTGACAGTAATGCAGCTCTCCATATTGCTGCTAACTCTGTTTTTCATGAGCGTACCAAGCACATTGACATTGATTGTCACTTGGTTCGTGAGAACATCATCAAAGGCACACTGCACACTTTTCATATTCCATCCTCTAGACAACTTGCTGATCTACTGACAAAAGCTTTTCATCATTCACATTTTCATGCTCTTCTCTCCAAGATGGGAGTTCTCAACATATACTCTCCATCTTGAGGGGGAGTATTAGAGTATTAGTATTTTCATTCCTTTATTGTATTTCTTTTTCCTTATTATTCTCCACGTCAACTGGTTTGTTGTAACAGCTAGTTTGTTGTAACAAACTTGCCTTGCTTTCCTTTCCCTTGATACTCTTGTATAAAGATGGTTACTGTTCAGATGAATAAACACACGAGAATATTTTCCAGTTATGGTTTTCTTTCTTCGTTCTTATTCTTCCTGTATCTTTACTAATAGCGACTTAAGCAAGTTTACAAGTCATATTATACCCCAAATAACATAGTATAAAAATGCATACCCATGTGAAGACAAAGTAAAAGACCCTCTGAGTTTATGACAGTGATGAAGAGCAAAGTAGAAAGAGAAGAGAATGCCATATCGTGAACACGTATGAGTGAGAAATCGTGGAGACAACTCGTACGAGTGAGAGGGAGCATAGGAAGAGAATTCACTGTGGAGACAACTCAAATGTGGTGTCAAACACAACGATGAACATTGGATAAGCAAAGGCAAGTTTTAGTCGAGCAAATTGATTTTGTTTCACACAATGCAAAGTTAGGGCACGATATATAAAGGGTATATTTGTCTGAAAAATGATGCAACATTTTCCCACCGTCCAGGATTCCTAAAATACCACAAGTTGGATGGCATTGTTGGTTGTCATTTTCATGTGTAATCTAAAATCCTGGGAATGTAATTTTTCCAAGAAAAGTTTTACTCCTCCTTGTACTAAACATGGAAAAATCATATTGCCAGTGTCACTTTTCCGGGAAAATAAAATTTTTCCATGAACCAAAACCTCCTAAAGGAACTAAGTCCATCCTGCATATAAATCATGGGCATCTTGCCTACTTGACTGACAAGCCAAGTAGACTTAGTAAGGAAAGAAACATCATTGCCGAGATCAGCACCTCAGGGCAACTTGAACTCCACATGAACCTAATGAATAAATGGAAACACCATCTTACCACTATATTTACCAGGGCTAGCCTAACTCTAGGCTTCTCACCTAAGAAATAGCTTGTGAAAGGTCATCATTCTCCATCAATGAGAATTGACACAGCCATTGAAAGGTGGCATGAAGCAAGGCACCATTCAACTATAAATACAGAGGCACTCAGCCCAGGTAAGATCATCTATCCTTGAATACTTGAACTACATTCAATACTGAACTGACTTAAACGTTAGAGTGCCTTCCAGGTACCCCTTCCAGTCTCCTTAAACTGCTTAGACATCAGGCTTTAAAATCAGTCATCTCGCTAAGTAGTATATCATCTTAGCAACCTTCTATTCATCAACATCCTTTACCTCCAACCATGTGTGATCAGGTCCAGCCCAATATCTGTTGGACTCATCATTGGCATCGTTTGTGGGGACGATAAATTTCGACTCCCACTCCATATAAATTAAAAACATGATTGATACCCGCAACGAGATGAAAAAATCTCAAAACACATCCAAGAATAAGAAATAGAGAGGCCAAACATCTCACAAGAGAACAACATCATCTATGTCTCCAACCTTTCCTCAGCAAAATATCCTGCCATCAATCCAATAGGTTGCTGCAACAAATCAACAAATCCTTGAGCTTCTCAGGCAAAAAAGCTAAAGGCTTGAGGAACAATAGAAAGAATTGTTAGAATTGAAAAGATTGCAATTTGATCATGAAAGAAATTCAAATATAGAGTGAAAATCCGATGAGAATGAAGAGCGAAATGAGAATGAAGAAGGAAATGAGAATGAAGAAAAAAATGAGAATGAGCAAAATGAAAATGAACAAGTGCATTCTCAAAATGATCCTGGTCCTTCACAAAAAAAGGAAAAGCAAAAAAAGAAAACCACCAACCTCACATTAGCCATGTCGCTAACCACTATATCGACCAAAATTCTCATTAGAATCCAAAGACAACTTCCATGGTGGCCCTTCCCTTCACATCACAAATCATGGACTTGCCAATCCCCAAAGATATTAAGATTACTACTGAAAACTATAATGGCAAGGGAGACCCACAGGAGCATCTGGAGCAATTCCAGACAAATATGATGGCTCAGGACATTCCTGATGCAGTAAGCTGCCTCCTTTTCACAACAACGTTTAAAAAAGTGGCTTTAAGAAGGTATTTTGCCTTGCCACCGAACTCCATCAATAATTGGGAGGATCTTGCTAATCAATTTTTGGTGAGATTTGGAATCAGCAATGCTCAATGCAAGTCGACCCGTGCATTGAAAATAGTTAAGAAGGGAGCTAGAGAATCCCTGCATGATTATGTGAACAAGTTTTTTGATGAAGTTCTCCTTGTTAAAGATCTTGATCCATAAATTTCTTTACATCTTGTTAAAAATGGTCTCCAGGATGGACCATCCTCCACATCTTTGGCCAAGCAAAGGCCAAAGACCATCGAAGAATTGCGCGAGATCTGAATTTTTTTTTAAGTTTAGAAGATTTCAATGATCTTGCGATGATCCAATCCAAACACTTATGACCAACGACTCTAAGCGAGACTTTAGGAGGAAGATTAAAGACATTAGAAAGTTTGGTGAATATACACCATTGAACACATCCAAATCTCGCATAATGAAAGAGGTTTTTCAAGCTGGCTTTGTTAATGTCGTCAGGCTAGCACCTATAAAGAAAAGGGACAATTTGGATAAAATCAAATTCTATGAATTCCATGAAGACGTAGGATTTTCCACTGAGGAATGCTATGATCTAAAAAATACCAATGAAGCTTTGATTCGTGAAGGCAAACTCAAAGAGTTTGTTGCTGATTGTGTAACACCCCGTGTTAACCCGGTTTGTTAACATGTCATCGTATTAAGCCACGCTTAATTAAAAATTGTGGAATATCTTTTTCTTTTCAATTATGACGTCATTATACTTAGCCAAGTTGATTACTTAATCATTTTCATAAAAACAACGCCTGTATATGTATTGCTAACACAACTAACTGAAATATCTCATAACATAGATTAACTGTGAGTATCTAAGTCACGGATCTACAACACGTAGTGCGGACAATATCTTGATACATTATTACAACTTCAAACCAAAAATAAGACATAATCAAGTCAACGTGGCATGGACAATCCCCATGCTCACCAAATAGACAGCATAATCAGTAGAGTCTCAACAAAGACAACATAACACTAGCAGACTAAAAGCATATCATTATCAGATATAATCCAGCATCCAAACATGTCAGCATATAAACAACAATATAAGCTAAGCTCCGGCCTCCTGCCGCTAGAGGTCTCAACCCCCGCATTACCTGAACCTGAAATGGTGCCCCAAACGTGGGGTGAGATCTCTAAACAGAAATCTCAGTAAGACAAGGGGTCCTCAAGGATCTTCCACCCCACGCTCACTTACATGTGCAATGTAAGTTCAAAAGAAGTAATTCAATATAATTTCCAAAATAAGTGCAATGCATCAGATAAACATGTCATGTGTATGAATAATATTCTACTGATCAGAGAAGTGCAAGAATACGTCTATTACCCACACAGTACCAGCCCATGCTATACTTGCCTACGGAATCACCCCATGGCTTACCGATAGGCAACACACCACATCTATATCATAAGAAATTGCACGTAAAAGTTTCATAACATTTCAATAATCAAAACATGAAAACAACATCATGCATATAAACCATCCCCCCATGGGACATGGTGGAACCAACAATGGCTAAACTGAGGACATGAAAGCTTACCTTGCAAGCTAACAATCCAATGGCAAGACTCCAATCAAAGCTCAAAGCCCAAACGCAGCAGATCACAATCTGATTTAGGACCAGCAAACATATCAATAAACATAGCTCATAAGCATAAACATAAAGACAACACCTTTCCTTTACGTTTTACGTCTTAAGGCTTCTCACCAAGCCATAAGCCCTTAATCACTTGATTCTGACTTAGTTCAATCATTACAGAAGTTCAACTTCATCAATCTAGGGTCCACAAACCCCCATTAGCCTACTGTATGAACAATGCAGCTACTGTTCTTCGAAATCCCAGAATATCCGGAAAAATGTCGGGGACATATCCGGATATACCATATCGGGATATGCATATCCGGATATCCACATTCGGATATCAGAAGACCCCATATCTGGATATCAATATCCGGATATCATATCCGGATATCCCATATCCGGATATCCGCGATAGAATGCAGTTCTGTATTTCGCGAGATATCCTTCCCAAAGGTGACTCATTTCATGATTCCAGAAGCTTAAACATGCATTTAATAGTGTGTTTAACATTACCCAACGTTAAGTTATGATCTTTAATCCATTACATGCATCAAGGCTTCATCTTTAACCACTAAACTCAAGATCAAAGGTTGGTGAAGCTTACCCAAGGTTCAAACAGCAACCATAGGTGCTCTTGGAGGTCACAAGTCAGCTCCAAGGTACTGACTTCAAGGGTGCATGAAAATGCACTTCAAAGTGGGTTCTTTCTTCACAAAGATGACCACTTGAAGCCCTCACCACCAAGACAAAGCTCCAACCACCAAACCAGCACTCTCCCTTCCCCAAAACAGAAGCACAAACTCAGTATGTGGCTGACTCAACCCTCCCAAACCACTCTACCAAGTGTTTACAAAGAAAGAAGGAGAAGAATCAAAGGAAAAGAGAAGACTTTGGAGGTTTTTCATGCAAAAACACTAAGGGAGAAGATGGCCAGCAAGAAGGCTCACTCCCAGCAGCCAACTCATGCATACAAGGCTGGAGGATCAGCCTAGGGTTGTGTGCAACCCTCAATTTATGGGCAGTTTAGAAATAAACACACAGTATTAACTTTAATTGCTACGCTTAGCATTTAATCCCAAACTCAGGATTCTGAACCTACTCAATTTTACAAGAATTATCATATTTTTCTTATATTTTTCGCAGCACCTTTCCGGTACGCGCTTTTCCATAGCCAGTATCAGTTCTGGCACCAGTTCTCGTTATTTTAACTTGAAACTTGTTTTACAAGTCCTAAATATTATT